TACTGCCTGCCTGCAGCAGAGGCTCCCGCCACTGCTGCTGTGCTTGCCAGCCAAGCCCGGCTTTTAGCTGAGCTGCTCTACTCCTGTGGGAGCACATTGACCATCAGGGGACAGTTCCTGTTTTGAGCATCTGCCCCTTGGTGGTAAGTGCACGTCATAGTGACTGGTTGTTCTGCCATTTGGTTGATTTGCATATTATGCTTTTATTAAATAGGATAAAATGTCTTCCTTAAATGCAGTTTCTCAGATGTTGGGATTCCTTATTTTCTGTTTTGGGCCCATTCTCCCTTGTATATACAAGTCTATAGTTAGATAACTATAAGATATGACATAGTAAATGTTGAAGGTAAATATATGCTCTATTCCTTCTTAGAAGCCCCAGATCTCTATCTCCTACTCTGATTAATCTGGATCATGGGACCTCCTTTTTCCCTCTTCCATATACCTAAAGCCTAGATCAGAACCAGGCATAAGCAAACAACTTTTTGCTGTTTACTATACCTTGACCTTTGTTCTTGTCTTAAGCCTTTCCAATTGGGAGCCACTCCGATGAGAGACTAACAGGAAGAAAAATGGGGTTTTCACACCCTTTTTTTCCCCCTTCCCTATACAAAACACTACATTTCCAAGACAGTCACTTTGTTGTGGTCCTTCCTGTTCATTTTGTGTCGATGTGTAGCAGAGGCCATTCTTAAAGTTAGAAAGGGAGCTGAGTAAAATAAATGCCTATTGTCCTTATTTTTCCCATGTTAACCTAGTAGACTTAACTGTCAGACTGATGGTCAGTGGGGCTGTTGCCCTCCCCATTCAGCATCAGTGAATAGCACAAGTCACGCCTGCACTTTTATGAGCCTCTCAGCCTTTCTTCAGCTTCTTTGTGTTTACTTAGAATAATGTCCTGGTTTTATTTCCTAGGGCCTTTTTAGGTATATTCAGTGGGTCATTTTGGAAGTCATTAAAATGCATATACATGTTACCTAAATTGACCTGAAGACGATTCTCTATTCTGGCCAAGAAGTCATCCTTAATTCTGTTTCCCTTCTTAAAATATGCTACTTGCTGTTATTTAGTTAAGCTTACCTCATAGTGTTTTTCAGATTATAATAATGTTATCAAATTGTATATTTAAAATGCCTTCGAATTTGTCCCTTTCTTGGAGATGAGAAATTACACACCTTTACCAAATGATACTTTGACAGCAGTCTCAACAATTCATTCCCTCTAATTGTGATTTAAATATATGTATTATATTTATATTATATTTATGTTATATTTAACGTGTGTGTGTGTGTGTGTGTGTTTATTGATTTTTAGAGAGAAAGGGGGAGAGAGAGAGAGAGAGAGAAAAACATCGATCAGCTGCCTCCTGCTAGCCCCTTATTGGGGATCGAGCCTGAAACCCAGGCATGTGCCCTGCATGACCAGGAATTAAACCAAGGATCTCTGGGTGCGTGGGACGATGTTCAACCAACTGAGCCACACTGGCCAGGGCTCTAATTGTGATTTTTTTTAAAATATATTTTTTATTGATTAAGCTATTACATATGTGTCCTTATCCCCACGTTACCCCCTACCCCCCCCACCCCCCCGCTCATGCCCTCACCCGCCTGTTGTCCATGTCCATTGGTTAGGCCTATATGCTTGCATATAAGTCCTTTGGTTGATCTTTCCCCCTTACCTCTACCCTCCCCTACCTTCCCTCCAAGGCCCGACAGTCCAATCAATGCCTCTCCATCTCTGGATCAGTCCTTGTTCATCAGTTTATGTTGTTCATTATATTCCACAAATGAGTGAGATCATGTGGTATTTATCCTTCTCTGACTGGCTTATTTCACTTAGCATAATGCTCTCCAGTTCCATCCATGCTGTGGCAAATGGTAAGAGTTCCTTTTTCTTCTTCCTCTTCTTAAAGAATACCTTTCAGCATTTCATATAATGCTGGTTTGGTGGTGATGAACTCCTTTAGCTTTTTCTTATCTGCGAAGCTCTTTATCTGACCTTCAATCCTGAATGATAGCTTTGCTGGATAAAGTAATCTTGGTTGTAGGTTCTTGCTATTCATCACTTTGAATATTTCTTGCCCCTCTCTTCTGGCCTGCATGGTTTCTGTTGAGAAATCAGCTGACAGTCGTATGGGTACTCCCTTGTAGGTAACTGGCTGTCTTTCTCTTGCTGCTTTTAAGATTCTCTCTTTGTCTTTTGCTCTTGGCATTTTAATTATGATGTGTCTTGGTGTGGTCCTCTTTGGGTTCCTTTTGTTTGAGGTTCTCTGCGCTTCCTGGACTTGTAAGTCTATTTCTTTCACCAGGTAGGGGAAGTTTTCTGTCATTATTTCTTCAAATAGGTTTTCAATATCTTGTCCTCTCTCTTCTTCTGGCACCCCTATAATTCTGATGTTGGTATGCTTGAAGTTGTCCCAGAGGCTCCTTACATTATCTTCATATTTTTGGAATCTTTTTTCTTTTTTCTTTTTCGGTTGGGTCTTTTTTATTTCTTTGTATTTCAAATCTTTGACTTGATTCTTGGGATCCTCTTGTCTGCTGTTGGATCTCTGTATATTATTCTTTATTTCAGTCAGTGTATGCTTAATTTCTAGTTGGTCCTTTTTCATATCCTCGAGAGTCTCACTAGATTTATCGAGGGTCTCACTAAATTTATCGGCCGTTTCCATAAAATTCTTGAAAAACCTTATAAACGTGGTTTTGAACTCTATATCCAGTCGTTTGCTTTCCTCCATTTCTGTCATTTGTGACCTGTTTCTTTGTCTCCACATTTTTTATGCTTCCCTGTGTTGGTAGAGTGGTTTTGTGTGCTAGGTGTCCTGTAGGGCCCAGTGGCTCAGCCTCCCCAGTTACCTGAGGTGGACACTCTTGGTGCACCCCCTTGTGGGCTTTGTGCACAGTCTTGTTGTAGTTATGCCCTGATTGCTGTAGGATCACTGGGAGGAATTGACCTCCAGGCCAACTGGCAGTGAGAATCAGCTGTGTCTGCAGTGGGAGAACTTCTGTGCTGAAGACACCCTTCTGGGGCAAGACTTGCTTCATTGGGGCTTTGGTGCTCACTGAGTCTGCCCCCTGAGTGTGTCCCTTATGGATCTGAGGAGTTGTAATCCGGACGGTCCCACTCTGACCACTGGGTACACTGGCTCTTGGATCTAAGGAGGTGCTAATTTAGTCTCTGCCTGAGGTTACCCAGCAGGAGCTACGAAAAGAACTGCAGATTCCCCTTCCTTTTTTGGAGTTTGGAGGTGCCAGATGAGGCCCAGCTGTGAAGCAATGCAAGCTGCTGAGGGGCCTTGGGCCTTCTCTTGGAAGGTCTGGGTCTGTCTGGCCCAGCTGTAATTTGTTAGGTAATTTTCAGGTTGCAAAGGGCCAGGGCATTCATATGCAAAGGCCTCTGACGCAGCCTGGGTGGGGTGGGGTCTCAAGGAATCAACAGGGCGGAGCAAGCAGCTATGGCTGATCCTCAGCCCTGCCCTAAGGGGCCCTGCGTCTCAGTGTCCTGGTAATTTAATCGCTGCAAGCACCTCTGAGGGAAAGCCGCCCTCGAGTTCCAAGTTCTGCCCGCTGCCAGACAGTCCAGTTTCTCCCCATATGAGTCCTGGGTCCCCAGAGACTTCCCGGAACTGGAGTTCAGAGCAGTCAGGAGCTTGTGACTCCCTCCCGATTCAAAAAGACAGCTGCGTCCTCAGGTACCAGCCCCTTTCTGTGCGCGCTCGAGCCTCCGTACCTTTGCACTTTACTTCCGTAGCTCCTGAGTCTCAGTGTGCTTTTCTCTTTCCTTCTAGTTGTAGAATTTCCACTCAGCCAGCCTTCCTCTAGTTCTGGATGATGTCCGTTTTGTCTTTTTGTTGTATTTGTGAAGTTGTTGTAGGAGGCAGCAATTTCGGTGTTTACCTATGCTGCCATCTTGGTTTCTCTCTAATTGTGATTTTTTAAAAAATAATTTCTTCAGTTACCAAATGTGATAGACACATTTAATCAGGTAATTAAGCCCTTTACTAGTATATTTCACTCTTTCAGAGATAGGATTCTACTGCAAGGTTAAACTACTAAAAGATGTCTGTCTTTAGTTTTAGCTAGCCATTTCCTAATAGTGCATTGCTAGCTTAGAAATCCAATGTGAAATGTCTTAGGACATTTCTCTATGTGGAGAGGGTCTGATTCATTTTATTTTTTTCACAAAGCATAACTTTTAAAAGATTTTGTTGCCCTAGCTAGTTTTGCTCAGTGGATAGAGCATCAGCCTGCGGACCAAAGGGTCCTGGGTTCAATTCCTGTCAAGGGCATCTACCTTGGTTGCAGACTCTTGCCCGGCCCAGGCCCCGGTCAACACTCATGCAAGAGGCAACCAATCGGTGTGTTTTTCTCACATTGATGTTTCTGTCTGTCTTTCCCGCTCTCTTTCACGCTCCCTAAAAATCAATGGAAAAATATCCTCAGGTGAGGATTAATAGAAAACAAACACTCTCTTCTGCCAGCATCAACCTATATGAATCTGGAGGTCACTGTTCTATTACCCATCCGGGCACATACCCAGGCGTGCAGGAGGAAGCTGATCAGTGATTCTTATCATTGGTGTTTCTGTCTCTTTCTCTCTCTCCTCGCGCACTCTCTCTCTCTCTTCATCTCTGAAATCAATAAAAAAAATATTTTTAAAAGATTTTGTTGTTGTTAATCCTCACCCCGAGGGGGGTAGTGGGGAGAGAGAGAGAGAGAGAGAAAGAAAGAAAGAGAAAGAGACATCTAGGTGTGAGAGATACATTGATTGCTTGCCTTCCACACTTACCTGCAACCCAGGTATGTGCCCTTGACCAGGAATTGAACCCTCGACCCTTTGGTGCATGGGCTGATGCTCTAACCAATAAGACACACCAGCCAGGGCAAAGATTTTTTAATAGTATGATATATGTAGTGCTATAGGTTAAATATAGGTTAAGTGTTGGGAGAATGACTGCTGAAAATGGTTTTTCCACCTTAATCTTTCTTTCTTTCTTTAAGGATTCCTAGATGAGGTTATGAAGAAGTATGGCAGTTTGGTTCCACTCAGTGAAAAAGATGTCCTTGGAAGATTAAAAGATGTCTTTAATGAAGACTTTTCTAATAGGTTTGTCAATGATGCTTAAGTTAAGCCCTTGACAATAAAATTTAGCATATATGACTTTTTTCTTGATTAAAAAAAGATACTTAGCAATAAATTGAGTAGAACTCATGTTTTTAATCTTCTATTTCAAAATCTTTCTGTTTCAGAAAACCATTTATCAATAGGGAAATAACAAACTATCGGGCCAGACATCAAAAATGCAACTTCCGTGTCTTCTACAATAAGCACATGCTAGATATGGATGATCTGGCGACACTGGATGGTCAGAATTGGCTGAATGACCAGGTTAGTGTATTGTAGGTTCTCATCATGGAAAAGTTGCAGAGGATGTTGGACAACAAAATATAATTAATAACTTCTGGGTTGGCCTCACAGTTATCTTTTGGAATCAAGGATTCTTTATTCCTTACTGAAGTGACTCATTCTCTAACCCCACTAGCCAAAAGGTTTGATTACTGTTAGCAGTTCAATGTGTTATTCATTCTGAGTGGGATGTTCTAAATTGTATAGGGTTAGTAAGCTGGTTTTATGTTGGCTTCTTTATAGGTCATTAATATGTACGGTGAGCTGATAATGGATGCAGTCCCAGACAAAGTAAGTGAAAACTTACTCTTCTTTAGGAGCAAGAGTCCTTGTATATTAAAAAGTGTTGTTTTTAAAAAACAAACACTTTATATAATTATTTGATATCGCTTGGTTTTTTTGAAAAGGATTAATTTTGTCTTGATCAGGTGCTAGGTTTGGGCATACATTCTACAAAATCACTTCTGCATAAGAAAGTCATGATGCTGGTGTTTTCCTGCTTATTTGTTTCAAAGTAAATATGGTTGTTGGTATCTTTTTTTTTTTTTAATCCTCACCACAGAGGATATTTTTCCACTGATTTTTAGGGTAAGTAGAAGAGGGAGGGAAAGACAGAAATATTGATGTGAGAGAAACACACAGATTAGTTGCCTCCTGCAGGCCCTGACCAGGGCCCAGGCCAGGGAGGTGCCTGCAACCAAGGTACATGCCCTTGACTGGAATCAAACCTAGGGCCCTTCGTCCACAGGCCGATGCTCTATCCACTGAGCCAAACTGGTTAGGGCTGGTTGTTGATATCTTGAGAAGGCGTTTTCTTAGTGGAAGATGCACAAAAGGGACTATTTGCTTTAAGCTTTAAAATTTAACTTAGTTTTACTATCTTTTAAAAAGTGGTAAAGTAGTATTCAGCTTCACTTTATTTTGGATTAATCTTTGATACTCAATTCAAATACAAACTAAATTATAAAATGCCCTTAAGAGCTTAGTTACATATGAAAACTATTCTTAAAATGTAATATATTAATTTCTTTCTGAGTACTCAAATTGTTTAGTGAGCAGCCTTTGATTTCAATAAGCAAAACTTTTTGAAGTACTTTATAAACTTTTGTAAGTCTGATAGTTTAAACAGGTAATGTAATGAATCTCAGATTGCAACACTATTTATGAATATAGACAAAATGTCATAACTTTCCACTTAAAATCACAAATATAGTATGTATTTTAAATTGGAATCATAAAGCCAATCTGTCAGATTGCATTCCAGATTCTGATGCATACAAAGTTTGAGACTCACTGCCCTAGAAATAGCTACTCTAAGCTCTTTTAAAAACCAATATCTTAAGCTACATGGTTCTCAAAATATATGTGCATCAGAATCCTCTGAAAAGTTTATAAAACCGGATTGCTGAGCCTCAACCTCAGAGTTTGTGCTTCAGTAGGGCTAGGGTAGAGCCTCAGAATTTACATTTTGGCAAGTTCCCAGGTGATGCTGATAATGCTTGTGTTCTGGTGACCACATCCTGAGAACCTCAGCAGGAAGAGAACAATTTTATCATTTCAAGTGAGTCAAAGTTACTGAGGAAACACTTAAGACCACAATTGTTTACTATCTCAGGTGGGCTGATACTAATTTAGAAGCCAGAGCTTTGAAGCCATGTGTGCAGGACATGATGCTCCATATGACTAGAATAATTCTTTCAGTGCTAGGAATGATTAAGCTATGGCCTTTTTATAGTTGTTATGACAACAAGAATTTCCAAATTCACATTCTTCATATGAGGTTAGTTTTGTAATCCATATCCTTTTAGTTCAAGGTAATTATTACCTCATTCTTTCATAGCTTCTTTTAACTTTATCACCTGATTTGGAGAAACCTGTCAGGTTGCTTGTCTACTTGATTGGATTCAGGTAATCTGTTTACTGTCCATTCCAGTTCTAACTATAGACCACAGCTGTAAGGTCATTCTAATAAAAATTTGGAATAGAATCTTATGAGAACCATGCAATGTATTTTTTATATTTTGGTTATTATTTTAAAGAAGAAAATTCCCCTCACCTTTTTGTTTATCTTATATTTAAGGATTTTTAAATTTCCTTTTTTTTTTAGTTAAACCTGGGCACAATCTAATATAATCTGGGTGCTTGTATTTGATGTCTCTTCTAGGTTCACTTCTTCAACAGCTTTTTTCATAGACAGCTGGTAACCAAAGGATATAATGGAGTAAAAAGATGGACTAAAAAGGTATTCTCTTTATTCTAAATTTGAAATGTAGATGATAATCCACTTTGAGTGGAAGTATAAGAACTTTATTACCAATGTGATGTTAATTAGAAACAGACTTTAATGTGAAAGTTTTTTATTGTTTCTTTTAAATCTTGTTCAAAAGATAAGACGCTAGTAAAATTGAGTCTATCCACTTGATTGGAATGTGCTATAACAAAGCACTGGGCAGAAAGTTAATGGTTTGTACTACTATTAGCTTAATGTACAACTTGGACAAGACAGTTTGGGCTGTAGATTGCTTATTTATCAAAATGATAAATCAGAGTAATCCCTAAAATCACTTTCAATCTTTTTTGAAATATATATATTTTTATTGATTTCAGAGAGGAAGGGAGAGGGATAGATAGAAACATCAATGATGAGAATCATTGATCAGCTGCCTCCTGCATACCACCTGCTGGGCATCAAGCCAGCAACCCTGGCATGAGCCCTGACTGGGAATCGAACTGGCAACCTTTTGATGCAAGGTATGACATCTGACCAACTGAGTCACACTGACCACGGCTATTTTTTGATATTTTGACAAAATTACCAGCAAGTTCAAATTTCATAGTCATAAGCCTAGAGCAACAATTTTCAACCTTTTTCATCTCATGGCACACATAAACTAATTACTAAAATTCTGTAGCACACGAAAGAATATGTTATATTTTTTGCTGATCTGATTTTTAAAAATAAGTATAATTTTGATTCATTAACACCAGATGGCTATTATTGTGTTGGCTGTTGTCATTTTTTTATTTGACAATCTAGGGGAAAAGAAGTCAGTGCTCTGACTAGTAGGTATTGCATGTTTTAAAAATTCTTGTAGCATACGAATTGAAAATAGCTGGTCTAGCCCTGACTGGTTTGGCTCAGTGGATAGAGTGTCGGCCTGTAGACTGAGAGGTCCCAGGTTTGATTCCAGTCAAGGGCATGTACCTTGGTTGTGGGCACATCCCCAGTGGGGAGTGTGCAGGAGGCAGCTGATCGATGTATCTCTCTCGTCGATGTTTCTAACTCTCTATCTCTCTCCCTTCCTCTCTGTAAAAAATCAATAAAATATATTTTTTTAAAAAAGAAAAGAAAATAGCTGGTCTAGAGATACTATTACTTTTTACTTTTTGTTGTTGTTGTTAATCCTCACCCGAGGATATTTTTCCATTCATTTTTAGAGAGAGTGGGAGGGAGAGAGAGAGAGAGAGAAATATCAATGTGAGAGAGACACATCAATTGGTTGCCTCCTGCACATGCTCTGACCTGGCCTTGGATCAGGCCTACAACCCAGATACTTGCCCTTGACCAGGAATCGAACCCAGACCCTTTGGTTCTTGGGTCAATGCTCTAATCACTGAGCAACCAGCCAAGGCATATAACTTTTTACTTTTTATACTGAATGGGTTAGAGAAATTAAGAGTAAATCTTAAGAGTAGATGGAAATAACTTTTTGCAAAGTGCAAAAATACCTGATTGAACATTACTATTCAAGGCATCATTAGTAGTGCCAACATATATGAAATATGGTTGAAGAGTGCAAGTCTGAGGAAATAGATATAATGAATTCAGAAATCAGACCTGGGTTCAGATCATAGTTTAGCCACTTAACTAGTTGTAAGACCTTGGGCAAATTACTTAATTAAAAAGAAAATTTATTGATTAATTTGAGAGAGAAACATTGGTTTGTTGTTCCACCTATTTATGCATTCATTCATTCATTGATTCTTATATTTGTCCTGACTGGGATCAAACCCGCAACCCTGGTGTATCAGGATGATGCTTTAACCAACAGAGCTACCCAGCCAGAGTAAATTACTTAATTTTTATAAGCTTCAGTTTCCTTATCTGTAAAAAAAGAATATGAATAGTATTTACCTTGTTGTGAGGATAAATGACATAATGCATGTAAACCACTAGGTACATGGTAAACACACAGATAGTCATTATCTATAATAATAAAAGGGTAATATGCTAATTAGACCGGACATCATTCCAGATGTCTTTCCTGACGAAGCCGGAGCGGGAGGGAAGCCAGCCTGGGTTCTGGGTGCCTGCAGGAAGCCTGAGGGAAGCCAGCCCGGGTCCCGGGTGCCTGCTGGCAGCTGGAGAAGGGAAGCCTGGGTTCTGGGTGCTATTTGGAAGCCAGTGCCGGCACCTGGGGGAAACAAGGCCTACTCTTGCACGAATTTTTGTGCATCAGGCCTTTAGTCTATAATAATAAAAGTGTAATATGCTAATTAGACTGGACAGCCAAGAGACCTTCTGGACGTCATTCCAGACAAACTTCTGGACAAAGCCGTGGCGGCGGGGGCCAAGGCAGAGGCGGTTAGGGGTGGGCAGGCAGGCAGAGTGGTTAGGGGCGACCAGGCAGACAGGCAAGTGGTTAGGGGCGACCAGGCAGGCAGGCAGAGTGGTTAGGGGTGATCAGGCAGGCAGGCAGAGTGGTTAGGGCCGATCAGGCAGGCAGGCGAGTGGTTAAGGGTGATTAGGCAGGCAGGATATTTTTTCCATTCATTTTTAGAAAGAGTGGGAGGGAGGGAGAGAGAGTGAAGTAGATCTGATCCAGAGATGTAGGGCCTTGAATCTATGCTTTGAAATTTACCCATAATGTATAGGAATCTATAGAAGGGTTTTAGGTGGGACATCATCCAGTTTGTAGTCTAGCAGCACTGATGAATATGAATGAATGTGGGAGCAAAGTTGATGTGTGTAGAACAGCAGGCCATTGCAGATTGATGGTATTGTTTTTAAAATGCATTTTTATTTCAGAGAGGAAGGGAAAGGGAGAGAGATAGAAACATCAATGATGAGAGAGAATCATTGATCAAATGATTCTCTGGGGATTGAACCTGCAACCCACGCATGTGCTCTTGACCAGAATCGAACCTGGGACCCTTTGATCTGCAGGCCGATGCTCTATCCACTGAGTCAAACCAGCTAGGGCTTGATGGTACTTTGGGATAGAATAGTAGCAGGAGAGATGGGAGATGTACACAAATATGAGTGTGATCTAGGAAGTAAAGTTAACAGGATTTGGTGATGGATCGGTTATGGGGATGGAGGAGAAGGAAATGTGAAAGATGACTTCCAAGTGTGTGGCTTATACCACCGGAATGGGCTATGGTGGTGTTTACATTAGAAAAAATTGAGGACAATTAATAGGGGATTGGTCAAATAAATAATATACATCCATTTAATAGGATGCTACTTAACCAGGAAAAGTTATATAGATAAGGAAAAATGTTCATATGTAATGTGGAATAGAGAAAGGTTATAAACAGCATGATAAAATACCCTGGAGATATTGTGGGTTCAATTCCAGACCACTGCAATAAAGTGAATATCATGATAAAGTGATTCACACTAATTTTGGGGTTTCCCCGTGCCTGTAAAGTTATGTTCACATTATACTGTAGTCTGTTAAGTGTACAATAGCATATGTCTAAGAAAACAGTACATGCCTTAATTAGAAAACACTTTATTGCTAAAAAATGCTAACCAGGCCTGTTGGGAAATGGCACCAATAGACTTGCTCAATGCAAGGTTGCCACAAGCTTTCAATTTTTTTTTAAAAAATATATTTTATTTATTTTTTAGAGAGGAAGGGAGAAGGATAGAGAGTTAGAAACATCGATGAGAGAGAAACATCGATCAACTGCTTCCTGCACACCCCCTACTGGGGATGTGCCCGCAACCAAGGTACATGCCCTTGACCGGAATCGAACCTGGGACCCTTCAGTCCACAGGCTGACGCTCTATCCATGGAGCCAAACTGGTCAGGGCATAAGCCTTCAATTTGTAAAAAATGCAGTATCTGCAAAGCACAGTAAAGTGAAGAGCAATAAAATGAAGTATGCCTGTACACTCATGGAAAAATAAACACGAGAGAAAAGGACTAAAATCAAGTACGCAAGTCATTTCATTAAATAGAATGAATTAAATTACTCTGTCTTCTGGATCCTTTCAGATTGGATTAAGTCACAAAATTCATTTATATGCTGTATATAAGAAATAAAACAATATGAAAAAGAAAGATTGAAAATAAAGCAACAGTTAAAGAGGTAGAAGGCAAATGCAAATCAGAAGAAGGAAGTCACACACATAAAAAAAGAACTAGCAGTATTAATAACATTTGAGGTAGAATTTTGATAATTTCAATATATGAAAACGTAAAGATTGATAAAATAATGATAGCGGGAGACCTCTCTCATGGTTGGACAAATCTAATAGATTAAAAAAAGATCATAAATAAAAAAGAATACAACCAGTATATTTGGTTTAATAGATATATACTAGATCTTTATACCCCTCAAAAGGAAAATACACATTAATTCCTTTAAGAAACATTTGTAAAAATTGATTGTATACTTGGCAACAAAGTACATATATTTTTTTAAAAATATATTTTATTGATTTTTTACAGAGAGGAAGGGAGAGGGATCGAGAGTTAGAAACGTCGATGAGAGAGAAACATCCATCAGCTGCCTCCTGCACACCCCCCACTGGGTATGTGCCCACAACCAAGGTACATGCCCTTGACCGGAATCGAACCTGGGACCCTTGAGTCCACAGGCTGACACTCTATCCACTGAGCCAAACCGGTTAGGGCTACATATATTATTTCTTGATCACAATTCAACCTAATTAAAATAAAAAGTGGTTTAAATCTTAATAATTTGAAGATTTTATAGATGCACACATTACTAGATATAACCCTTGGGTCCAAAAGAAAATAAAAAAGTAACTTATTTACAAACTGTCTAGAAAGGGTTGGAAAAGGAAGTACATCTTACCAACTACTATGAAAAGCAGTTTTGAGAAAGTTAATGGCCACAAATGCCTTTATTATTAAGGAAAAAATGAAAAATAGAAGAATTAAGTAAAATTAAATTACAGAATGACTAAGGATTTAAATGCAACAAAAATGAAATAGTGAAAGTAAGAAGAGAATCCATAAGAGAATTTTTAAAAAACAATGTCAG